TTTTCTTTTTCATCAATTAGTACTATCAATATTCCTAGTCAGGCTAGCTGGAAAAAGAAATGACCACTGATTTCTTCTTTCCCCTTATTTCTCTAATCCAACTGGAAGCCAGGTTCTACAGAGCCTATGCCATAATATCTTGTGATTGTTTTCCTACTTTTCACTCACAGTTGTAAACTGGACTATTGTAACAGCCTAAGGAGCCTCCAATCTCTCCTCTTTTAATTCATCTTTCATACTGTGGCCAGAGATGAATTCTGGAATAGTGAAATGCAATTATCTCCAGTAACCACTGCCTGCTGGTTTCTCCTGACAGCAGTGTACAGTTCCCATTAGGGAATTCCACTTCTTAGGTGTCTCTTCACATTTCAGCTATGCCACACAACAGCAACAGTGTTTTTACAGTGGTCTATATTTTATAAAGTTTATTTCCCCAAGGGACCACTAGTAATGCTTATTTAATCACTGTTCATGCCACACAGAACAATATTGTTATTTCTATTTTCTTTAGCCTGAACGGAATTGAATTCAAAGATAAATTTATAATGACTATCTAGTATTTCCTTTCTTCCTTGGTTTTTGAGTATTTTTTTGAGTAAGAGCTATGATATCTGAAAATCCTTGGTTCTTTCCATTTTGTCTATTTACAAGTACCTTAAACTTGGTGGAATTCTAGGCTGCTTTCATAAACCAGTTGCTCTATAATGCTAAACTTTACCCACACTGCTGCTTTGGGAACAAGCAGATTTGCTAATTTTGTTCACATTGACTTCTTAATGAAAGAAATTTTTTTTTAAACCTGTTTCTCTTATATATAACGTATATTGAATACATGAAACATTTCAATTATTCTTTAAGCAGTTAAGTAGTATAGTTTTCTCCATAGTTTTCTATTATATTTAACTTTTAACACTTTAAGAAAATGAACTCTATAAGATTACTACCTGTTCTTCTGAATAGTACAGTGAAACCTCATATGTCTAGAGGTATATTTCAGGCAACTTCAATCCCTGGAATCTTCCAGCTTTCTTACTTAAGCTGCAAACCCAGGAGTAAGAAAAATCTTTTTTAGCATTTGAAACAATTGTCAAAAGGGGCATGCAATAAAATATACATGGAATTTTCTCAGAATCTATAGTCTTGTATATTCTAAAGCAGTGCTGTCCAATACAAATAGAGCCACATAAGTGATTTTAAACTTTTTTAGCAGCCACATTAAAAAAGTAAAAAGATAAATACACAGCACAATGCTTAGCACTCATACTAACTCCTATCATGTATCACTTAACGATGGGGATACATTCTGAGAAATACGTCAGGTGATTTTGTCATTGTGTGACCATCATAGAATGTACTTAGACAAACCTAGATGGTATAGCCTACTAGACACCTAGGCTATATGGTACTAATCTTATGGGACCACCGTGGTATATGCAGTCTGTCACTGACCGAAACATTGTTACGTGGCACATGACTATACTTAGAAAAATCATTGATGAATTAATGAGTACATAAGTAAATAACTACAGTAGACCCTTTTATCCTCGGGAGATATGGTCCAAGACCCCTAGTGGATGCCTGAAACTATGGATAGTACCAAACCCTATATATACTATGTTTTTTCCTATACATACATACCTATGATAAAGTTTAATTTATAAATTTGGCACAATAAGAGATTAACAATAACTAATAATAAAATAGAACAATTATAACAATATACTGTAACAAAAGTTACTGTAGATATCAGCAATCTCAGCATACCATTTTTTTTCTTTCCTTATTAAGTCAAGAACTTTGACTTTTTCACTTTAAGGAAGCACCTTATGGCTTCTCTTTGGCATACCCGAATAGCCAGCATCACTGCTCTCGTGCTTTGGGGCCATTATTAAGTAAAATCAGGGTTACTTGAACACAAGCACTGTGATACTGCGACAGTCCATCTGATAACCGAGACAGCTACTAAGCCAGTAACAGGTGGGGAGCGTGAATAGTGTGGAACCCTGGACAAAGGGATGATTCACGTTCCAGGTGGGATGGAGTAGAATGGCTCGAGATTTCATCATGCTACTCAGAACGGTGCACAACTTAAAACTTATGAATTGTTCATTTCTGGAATTTCCCATTCAATATATTCAGATCGCAGTTGACCTTGGGTAACTGAAACCTCGCAAAGTGAAACTGTGGATAAGGGAGTCTACTGTAATTTATAACTTTTTTAAAAAAGCCTTTGAGATGTGAAGCAATCGGAACTCTCTTACACTGCTGGTGGGAATGTAAAATGGTACACACATTTTGGAAAACAAAACTGGCAGCTTCTTAACATATATTTAGCATATGACCTAGTAATTCCACTCCTATGTATTTAGTTAAAGAAAATATATTCTCACCCAAAGACCTGTATATGAATATTCATAGCAGCTTTATTCATAATAGCTCCCAAATGGAAACAACCAAAATGTTCATCAACAAGTGACTAGATAAACAAATCATATCCATACAACAGAATACTACTCAGCAATAAAAAGGAGCAAACTACTGATAAATACAATGGATGAATCTGAGTGAAACAGAAAGAGTATATACCGTATGATCGATTTATATGAAACTCTAGAAGAGGAACACATCTATACTAAAAGAAAGCAGATCATTGGTTGTTTGAGGCTAGGAGGGAGTGAGGAACTGACTGCAAAGACTTATGAGGGAACTTTCTGGAGTGCTAGAAATAGTTTAGATCTTGATTGGGATGGTAGTGATGTGAGTGCATAAATTTGTCCAAAGTCATCAAACTGTATACTTTAAAGAGGTGCATTTTATTGTATATAAGTCATACCCCAGTAAATCCCTTTGACAAGGTTCCATGCCACAAGCTTTGCAAATTTAATTACTAAAATATTTGGTTTTATATAGAAGAAACTATCTCAAAGACTAGAAGCAAAGGGCAGAGCAAAAAAGGTTCTAAATAGAGAATAAATTTATAAAAATGTGGGATCCGACAAAGTTAGGTTTATAAATATTTCACATCTTTAGAAATTATCTGGAAGAGGGTGTAGAGTGTATAAATCTAAGCATATGGGGGAAACTAAGGTAAATGACAGGAACATCTATGTGAGTGGGCAGTAAAGTAGCAGATGGAAATCTCAGCATTTTAGCTTTATGTGTACAGCTGGTCCCCGACTTATGATTTTTTGACTTTACGAAGGTATGAAAGCGATACATATTCAGTAGAAACTGTACTTTGAATTTTGATCTTTTCCTGGGCTAGCGACATGCAATATGATACTTTCTCGTGATGCTGGGCAGTGGCTGCTGCAGCTCCCAGTCAGCCCTGTGATCACGTCGGTAAACAACCGATACACTTAAAATCTTTTTTACCCTGACAACCATTCTGTTTTTCACTTTCAGTAGAGTATTCAATAAATCACATGAGATAGTCAACACTTTCTTATAAAATAGGCTTGGTGTTAGATAATTTTGCCCAACTGTGGGCTAATGTAAGTGTTCTGAGCAAGTTTTGGTAGCTAGGCTAAGCTAGGATGTTCGGTAGGTTAGGTGTATTAAACGCATTTTTGACTTAACGATATTTTCAATTTATGATGGGTTTACTGGGACATAACCCAATTGTAAGTTGAGGAAGATCTGCAGTAGAAGATATCTTAATCTGATATGGCCAGTATCAGTAGTTGTTTAGTTAATTTAAAAAGTCCGTCAAAGTGGAGAATCATTTTAAAAAATAAAGATATCTACACAACAAACACTTTAATTAACTTAAATACACATCCATTTTAGAACCAAGGCCTTTTCTTTGGAGTGGAGCAACTGATTGGAATTACTTGTTATTTTTCTTGCTTAAGTATACCTATAACTTATCATCTGCAGTTTCCAGTTTCAGTTTCTTAAAAATGCAGCAAAGATGTAAAGAAACAGGTGAAATTAATTAATATCCCCAAATTATTACTTCATTGTGTAGTAAATATAAAAATTGAGATATTTTACATTCCTTTCTTTTTTCTTCAAAATTCAGTGTGTATTTTACACTTACAGGACATCCGGATTCAGATGTTACATTTCACTGGAAATACTTGATCTGTATTTAGATTTCATAAAATTTACAATTGAAAAAGTAGATTCACATAACCAAGTTGTTTCAAACATACTTAAAAATTTTCCAATAGTGAATGTCAGTTTTTAAATTTAAATTTTAAATTAATTAAAATTAAAAAAACTCATGTGTCTCAGTCATAAGCCACATTTCAAGGGCTCAACAGCCACATGTGGCTATTAGCTACTTTACTAGACAGTACCAGACAGATTAGCTACTTTACTAGACAGTACTCTATATTTTATACATAATTTTAACAAGTTTTGTTGTCTGTTTTCCCAGTACACTAGAGATTGGAAGAAAAAAAATAGATGACTAGAACTGACATACTTTTTTTTTTTCCATTAAGCACTCTAATAGGTTAAAAACATTTAACTCTTAACTGGCACATAGCCAACAGTTTATGTGCACTGAGGTTATTTTTTAATATTACCATCAACTTTCTTGGAAAGGAGTGAAATTTACTGGTTGGATGTCCTCGAGTTATGTCTTAGGAAATATTATTTAAACATATCTTCAGCTTTTCAAATATTAGCTTAGCAAATTTCTGGAAAATTTGCACCGATTTATATCTACTGTGGTTTTTCATTTTTTCCCCTATTCTTTATGAAGGCTTAAGTTTTTATTTTTCTTATTCCTTTTTTTTGGGTGGGGGGGGGGATGTAAAAAAATGTAGATGCTTAAGCTCATTTCCCCTTTTGGAATCTTATGCTCTATTCCTTAATGGTTTCCTCAAGCTCGTATTACAGAAAATTTAATATTTTTGAATGTATAAATGATTGCTTGACATTTCATATGTAAGCAGTGGATATAATTTTGATTTTTATGGAAATGTAAGATTATCACACAAACATCCAAGTGCTTTATGATAAATTAAAAATAACCAGAATCTACTTACCTTAAAAAATTCCTTTTTCTCAACCATCTCATCACCATCTGCATCCAGCATTTTAAAAGCAACATGAAACCCAGTATGGGGTTCTGCAATCAAGTGAAAAATGAACAATTATTTAAATGTTGGTGAAATGCAAATTATTTGCAGATCTATAGATCTTCAAATTTGAAATAAGCCACCAGAAACTATATGAGTAAGTGCCTAAACAGAGAAAAAAATGATCTCTACTGATAACAGTTTTCAAAGGCTGATATGTTTCCATAGGTACGCTGTTCTGCTATTAAGTGTTCTGTCCTTCAAAGCAAAATTAATTTGAGAACTTTATTTATTTCTTTAGCTCTACTAGGGTCTTTCCTATATTCTTATAGTACCTTGACTATTTTCACATTGATTATTACTTTTATTTCCCTTTCTCAGAGTAGGGGTTTTTAAAAGACTTTTTATTTTGAAATAATTTGAGACTTCTAGAAATGTTGTAAAGATATTATAGTGAGTTCTCCTATACCCTTCACCCAGCTTCCTCTAATGTCAGTTTCTTTAATTTTATTTAATTTTACTTATTTATTTATTTTTCCCCCAAAGCCCTAGTAGATAGTTGTATGTCATAGCTGCACATCCTTCTAGTTGCTGTACGTGGGACGCGGCCTCAGCATGGCTGGAGAAGCGGTGCGTCGGTGTGCACCTGGGATCCAAACCCGGGCTGCCAGCAGTGGAGTGCACGTGCGCACTCAACCGCTAAGCCACGGGGCCGGCCCAAATGTCAGCTTCTTATATAACCACAGAGCCTTTATCAAAACTAAGAAATTAACACTGGCATAGCATTTTAAACTAAACTACAGACTTTATTTGGATTTCATGTCTTTCCATTAATGCTGTTTTTTCTATTCTAGAATCAAATACAAGAACTAGGTTTCATTTAGTTGTTATGTCTCCTTAGTATCCTCTAAGCTGTAAAAGTTTCTCAATCTTTCCTTGATTTTCTTTTCTTTCTTTCTTTTTTTTTCTGCTGAGGAAGACTGGCCCTGGGCTAACATCTGTGCCCATCTTCCTCTACTTTATATGGGACACCGCCACAGCATGGCCTGACAAGTGGTGCACTGGTGTGCTCCCAGGATCCAAACCCAGACTGCCAGCAGTGGAGCGCTCACACTTAACCACTACACCATGGGGCCAGCCCCTCTTTGATTTTCATGACCTTGACAGTTTGAAGAGTACTGGTCAGGAATTTTGTAGAATGTCAGATGAGGGTTTTTTAATATTCCTAAGTGAAAGCTAAGTCTGATTTTTCTGTTCAACCAGCCTTCTATTAAGTTTGGAGAGCCATAGTGCAAAGGAGGTAGAAGAGACCTAAAGGGGTAATCTAATCCAACAGTATCATTTTGTAGATTTAGAAACTAAGGTAGCGGGCCGGCCCCGTGGCTTAGTGGTTAAGTGAGCGCGCTCCACTGCTGGCGACCCGGGTTCGGATCCCGGGCTCGCACCGACGCGCCGCTTCTCCAGCCATGCTGAGGCCGCGTCCCACATACAGCAACTAGAAGGATGTGCAGCTATGACACACAACTATCTACTGGGGCTTTGGGGGGAAAAAATAAATAAATAAAATCTTAAAAAAAAAAAAAAAAAGAAACTAAGGTACCAATAATATTTTTAATAATAAAGACACAAATACCACGCTTCCAAAACCCTGTCTGGTAAGAATAGAGAATTCCACATGATGGTTGAGAAAAAACTGTAGGATACTTACTAGTGAGGATTGTAAGCAAGAAAAGATACTCAGGATACGAAATTAACCCTGAAAGAGATAAAATAAAAACATCAGAAATAAGTTTTAGATGGTTTAGAAGTAATCATATATATATACTATACGGAAACTTCACCTAATTAAAAACAGACACATTTTTACTTTAAATTACTGCTCTTTGGTACAATGGAAAACTTTTATAATAGTTAAGTACAGTACTACTACTTAAAAAATAAAAAAAGAAGATACTATGTTTCATCAGGTTACTATTACTAGTAAGGAGGGGGAATGGATGGATGCTGGCTAGCAAATAAAAAGTATCCGCTAAAGGTTTTATTTGCATGGCACTTCACGTAATTTCTACTCAAATCTTACTATTAATAACATCTCAAGTCAAGGAAATTTATAAATTCAGTAGAACAACACAGATCTGGATATACCAAAGATCAAACTATATTATTTAAAATGAAATAATTAAATCTTTGTAGCAGTTACTTGATTTCCCTTTGAAAAATCATTCCTTCCTTATTCTCTAACATGCAGTTTGGGTAGTACAACCCATCTTCATCTTTGGAGGTAGATGCTGACTGGCCTAAGCCAATCACTGTATTCCTGCAGAATTGGTGCAGGGATGGGCAGGTAGCTGACCCACGCTAATGAGCAGGTTGCATTAGTCTGGCTGCAGGGACTGGTTCAGGGGTGGGCCACGACCTAGGCCAGGCCACTCAGAGTGCAACTTCTGCTCAATGGTACTGCAGGATTTCTGCTGAGAATGCTGGATTATTCATCCCGCCCCCCCTCCCGCCGGGCTTTGATGATATGAGACTGTCTCACTTAGAGGAGTGTGAGCCCACGAGACAGTGCCTGGAACTTCCAGAGATCCAGTGTTTAGAGCCTGAAAATGGAGTCCATCTTTAATTGGCAGGCCTGAAAGATGAATACTGGTGATGTTTGAGCCCTGGATTAAGCTGGGCTTGAAGCTAGCTCTATGTCTGGCCATTAAATAAACTTCCTTGTTTGCTCAAGTACAGACTGTCAAGTTTTACGTGCTTGCACTGAAAAGAATCATAATAAATACAGCAATAACATCTTACAAATTACAGCTTCCTGATAAGCTAAAAAAAATTTTCCCTCTGGATCATAAGCTTGGTATAATAGCAAAACACACAATTAAAAAAAACTTTATCATGGAGAACTCCAATCATATACAAAAGTAGAGAGAATAATATGATAGATAATTATATATATCAGCTTCAGTAATTATCAACTCATGGCAGGTCTTGGTTTATCTGTACCTCTTCTCACTCCCTTCCCCCCACCTCCCACTGGATTATTTTGAGACAAATCCCATATAGCATATCATTTCATAGTAGAAAATTCAGCCTATCTCTCTAAAAGAACTGTTCCCTCCTCCCAAATACATTTACCACACTTAAAAAATTATCAGTAACTCCTTAATATCATCAAATTCAAATCAGTGTTACAAACATCCCTATTTCAGAAAAAATTTTATGTGTGCTCAAATTCAAAGGTCCTTGCATTGCACTTGGTTGATAGGTCTCGAGTTCTTTTTTTTTTTTTGTGGTAAAACATACATAACATAAACTTTACCATTCTAGCCATTTTTAAATGTACAGTTCAGTGGCATTAAGAATATTCACATTGTTTTGCAACCATTATCAGAACATTTTCTTCATCACAAACTGAAACCCCATACCCATTAAATACCAACTTCCCATTCTCTTCTGCCCGAGGCCCCCAGTAACCTCTATTCTACTTTCTGTCTCTGAATTGTCTACTTGAGGTATCTCATATAAGTGGAATCATACAATATTTGCCCTTCTGTGACTGTCTTACTTCACTCAGCAGAATGTCTTCAAGGTTCATCCATGTTGTAGCATGTTATTAGAATTCCACTCCTTTTTAAGGCTGAATAATATTCCATTACATGCATATACCACATTTTGTTTATCCATTCATCTGCTGATGGACATCTGGGTTGATTCCACCTTTTGGCTATTGTGATTAATGCTACTACAAACATTGGTGTACAAATATCTGTTTGAGTCCCTGCTTTTAACTCTTTTGGGTACATATGCAGAAATGGAATTGCTGGATCACATGGTCATTCTATGTTTAATTTTTTGAGGAACCACCATACCATTTTCCACACTGGCTGTACCATTTTACATTCCCCCCAGCAATGCACAAGGGTTACAATTTCTCCATATCCTTGCCAACACTTGTTATTTTGTTTTTTTTTTTCCTTTGATAATAATGGATGTGAAGTGGTATCTCATTGTGTTTTTTTTTTTTGGTGAGGGAGATTGGCCATGAACTAACATCCGTTGCCAATCTTCCTCTTTTTGCTGAGGAAGATTGGCCCTGAGCTAACACCTGTACCCACCTTCCTCTATTTTATATGTGGGATGCCACCACAGCATGGCTTGATGAGTGGTGCGCAGGTCCATGCCCGGGATCTGAACCCGTGAACCCAGCCGCCAAAGCGGAGCATGCGAACCCAACCACTATGCCACCAGGCCGGCCCCTCACTGTGGTTTTGACTTGCACTTCCCATGATTAGTAAAGTTGAGCATCTTGTCATGTATGAATGAGCCATCTGTATATCTTCTTCAGAGAAATGTCTATTCCAGTCCTCTGCCCATTTTTAAATTGGGTTGTTTGGGTTTTCTTGTTGTTGAGTTGTAGGAGTTCTTTATGTATTCTGGATATTAACCCCCAATACATGATTTGCAAATATTTTCTCCCATCCTATGACTTGCCTTTTCACTCTCTTGATAGTGTACTTTGATTCACAAAAGTTTTTAATTTTTCTTTTGTTCCTTGTGCCTTAAATCTCTTTTGATCTATAGGTTCTCCCTTGTCTTTTTTCCCACCCTTTCAACTTAATTGTTGAAGAAGCCTGGTCATTTGTCTTGTAAAGTTTCTCATAGTCTAGAAAATTTTGCTGATTGTATCTTCTTGGTGTCATTTCACATGTTCCTCTAACTTCTATATTTTCTACAAACTGGTACTTAGATCCAGAGCTCTGCTCAGATTTAAGTTTCATTTTTGGCTATAATTCTTAATAGATGGTGCTGTATACTTCCACCAGGAAGCCAAAATGTAAATGTTTATAGAAAATGCTAAATACCACTGAGAGATATTGATAATAGGAGTTACAGGACTCTAGAAAAATGTGAAATCATTTTCAGAGTTTAGATGGTCAGAGATGTCATACAAGAAGTAATTTCAAAAATGGTCTTTGAATGATGGGTAAAAATTTTAAGGTGGTGTGATATAAGTGAGAAAGTCATATCAGATAGATGAAGCTGAATATGAAAACTGAAAAGTGATGATCTGTCTGAAATAATATTCATGTGGAAGAAGCAATGGGAAATAAAGCTACCATGGTAGTACAGAAATGAGGAATAAAGGCTTGGAGGGCTGGCCCCGTGGCTTAGCGGTTAAGTAAGCGTGCTCCGCTGCTGGCGGCCCGGGGTTCGGATCCTGGGCGCGCACTGACACACCGCTTCTCCGGCCATGCTGAGGCCACGTCCCACATACAACAACTAGAAGGATGTGCAACTATGACATACAATTATCTACTGGGGCTTTGGGGGAAAAAATAAATAAATAAAATTAAAATTAAAAAAAAAAATAATAAAGGCTTGGAGAGGGTCCTGGCAGTGGATACGTACTTATCCTTCAATGAAGGAAGAACACACCCTAATAGCTCCCAATCAAATAAAGCAGAGACTCAGGGACAAAAACTGTTCAGAGCAAGGCAAGTAAGGAACTTAGATCTCGGTAGTTCAATGTTTTATCTATAAATAACTTTAGGTATATTTTTTAAATGTTTTTAATGACTTACATTTTTTTGCATGACCAACTTTCTTGTTCTTTTTATTTTAGAGCAGGTGTACTTCTCTTTAATAAAAAAAGCCTACAGTTAAGTCTTCAGATATTTTTTCTTAAAAATATTCAGTGTTTATATGAAGGGGGAATAAATTAAATGTGTTTTGTCATATCTCATACCTGAGAGAAGTGCTCTAATGTTAGTTGAAAGATCAAAGTATTTCACCACTTGGCAGCCTCAAAAAGTGAATAGCTTTTTTCTAATTTTCAAAGGAATATGACAATGTGAAAAAATGGCCAAACTGCTAGACTGAACTGGGCTTGGTGCCAAACGAAGACCTCACTTTTCTCTCCTCTACACACAGGTACACGTCCTTTACACAAGGGGAACTTTTTCAAAAATAAAATTCTGGAGTCTTCCTTTGAAATACTGACAAATAAAAAGCTTGAATAAACACAAAGTTGAGAAAATGTAAAAATAGCACCCTACACTCTCAAGATAGATTATAAACAATATAATTCTACAACAGCATTTTGGCATCTGCCCTTTGAAAACGCTTTTAAAGAAAACTGACACCTCAGCATATTTATAGGAGAAAAGTTTAATATATATTTGTTACATTTCATTGTAAAATAAATGCTGTTAAATGGTAATGTTTCAAAATCGCATGTCTAATACAGAAGTATTTTCAATAATTTATATTTAAAAATTTGTTGAAGAATTCTTAAGGACCACTAGAAGAGATGATTAAAGTCTGTTAGTTACTATGCTTCTCTAAAAATATTTAAAATTTGGAACTACTTTAAAATATGACTTGCTACTGAATGCAATTTTAAGAACTCTGTTCCCCAAAGAAAAATTACCACATCTATCATAAGAATATATTTATATCTTAGAACATATCTTATAATTTACATTCAGTACATCCTTGAGGATGGTATTATATTGAGAATTCTGCTCAGTTTTTAAAAAATGCATAATAATTATAACAATCTACTTTTCTTTATAATAATGCATGGTGGGTGAATTTTATTTCAAGAATACAGTATCTTTTGCTAGTTATGATACAGTATAAATTTTGATAGTTCTTACTTCATTGATATCAACAAAGGAGTATATCTGAAGAAAAGTATATTCGTTGAATTTTTCCTATAAAATATTTACATTAGTGTTTTTTTCTTTAAGTTGAAAATGTACATTTCAACTCATATATTTCAGAGAACAACTGAAAAATAACTGCTGTTAAGTCTATCCTCAAGATTTTTTCTTGGTCTGTTTCTTCAAAGTTCTTTAGAGATAGGGAGAAGAGAGGATGAATTCAATAAATACTTAGGAGGAAAAATTAGACAGACTTTGTGTTTGATTGCATTTTGAGGATGGGAGGGGCAAAGAGAGAAAGGGTTCAAAGATATTTAGTGGGTTTCGAAGAGCTGGATGACAAGTATTACTACCAAATGAGACCGAGAATAAAGGAGGAGTTGGTTTAGGAGAAAGATGATGAGTTCAGTTTAGGATATGATGAATTCAAGGCAATTGAGAGATGCATAAGCAGGTGTCTGGCAGCTGGTTTGTATAGAAAAGCCTGAAGCTTAGGAGAGTAGCCTGGGCTGGAGACACTGGAAGAGAGCTGAAAGTCATTAGTATACATGGTTTCAAAAACCAAAGAGGCTGAAGGAGAAGAGCAGGAAGTGAAGGACAGAATCGTAGGAAGCACCAATGTTTAATGGGCAGGCAGAGGAAGAGAAGCCAATGATGGAAAGAGAAGTACAAAGAGAACTAGGATAATGTGGTTTCAGAGACTCCAAGAGAACTTGTGGCACATGGATTTGCCTGATAATTATAAAATGAGATCTTTTATTGACACTTGATCTCAGGGCACTGTGCCAGAAGCTTTACATACGTTTTCCCACTATAAGCCTGGAAACAGACAGAATGCTCTCTATTTTACAGATGAAGTAGGCTTTAAAGAAGCTTATAAACTCCAGGATACATAGAAATTGTGAAGCTCCATATATTCAGCCTGTGAAGCCTTACCAACATAGGGACACTCTTCTCCCAGGCTGTGGTAAAGCAGATGTGTTGGAGGGATGGAGAATGTGAAGGGTCAGGGCTGAGATCCCAATCAGAGTGGAATAAAAGCAAGTACAGGAAAGCCAGCATCTGGAGAAATGGTGAGACAGTCGTAGTTCCTACTCTGCCCTTGCATGGTACTTCTAACTCTTCATAATTATGCAACTCTGTTGTTCTGCCTCATTTCCCTGTCAGTTGGCCTAATTTTCTTGTCACCAATAAGTCATGTCTTTAAGTCCTGATTTCCCTACCAGTCCTTTACTAATGAAGGCTGTTCTTTTTATACAGTCCTGTGTGAATGGTAGGAAGTTAATTTTCCTCCTGCAGCTGCCCAGTACACATTTTTTATTCTTTTCTCTCTGACTTTGAAATGCATGCTATCTCTATTATCTATCCCCGCAGTCATTTACTCTTTCTAGTTCCTCTTGAAAGCCTCTTTCTTGCTAATCATCTTCTTTCCTCTATTTCTCCTATTAATATCCTCAGGGACTTTGCTCAAAGGAACAAAATCAAACTTTCTGCTGTTTCCATTTTCTGTTTAATTTTTTGAATAGTCCATCACAAGGGCCTTTTCCCCAATCATTCAGAAATACTGGCTTTTCATTCTTCAAGGAATCTCGGAAATGTATAATGCCCCTGTTCATTCTGAGAATATAAACAGTCTTCTGGCCACGTAAAGAACAGGGAAAGAGAACTATCCAGTGAGGAAAATGTGTGAGTAGGCTGACGAGGTTATCTCGTTGAGAGTTAGAAAGATATAGATATAGAGACAGAGACAGCAATAGAGATATATATGTGTCAGTATTCTCAATTTCAAGAAAAGAATAAAGAAAACCTATAGGCTCCCCCCACCCCATCCCATATTAAGAATTAAGACTGTTAACTAAACACAGTTTTGGAAACTAGAAATAACTTTCTACCTTCCTTCAAATCTCACAGTTGCTTTCAAGGCTTCCATTAATCTGTTTTAAATAAGCTCTACCACTACTTGCTATCTTCTTCATACCAAGAAAATGAATGTTTGCTTACTGCTCTTTGAAATCTCAACTCCCACATCATACTTTAGGCCTCAAAAATATCGTCCTTCATTTGCCAGGTAGCCTCCTACTTTCTTCAAAGTTTGTTAAATCTTGCTGTTAAACCTTATTATCTCCTATGAGATACAGAATTTCTCATTGCTCTTTCAGGATTGACTAGTCAATCCCTTCCTTCAAACTCACTCCCATTAGAATGACATCATGTTTGATTTTCCCAGTTTAGGTGATTCTGGTTGAATTTCACCAAAGGAGACAGAAAAGAAACAACTAGGATGGTAAGAAAACACAAGAAAGGATAGGGTCATACAAGCCAAAAGAAGGGACTGTTTTGAGGTGAGAGTACATAATAGCATCAAATATTGAGATCATGTAAGCTGAGAATATAAAATATCTTCACTGGATCTGATAACAAGCAGGTTTAAAACATCTATTAAATAATACGGTAAAGATATACAAGTTCACAATCGTTTACTGTATATTTTCTAATATATAGTTGTAAACCTCATAACTTAATTCCTTAATAATATTTTGGTTAAATAAAGTACACAAGTAGAAATTTAACAACAAATCAAAATTACCTTTATCACCAAGGTCTCTAAAAAACGTTGATCCACAACCAGCTTTTTGGATTCCTGCCAGTACATCTTCGATATCCTTTGAATACACATATTAAAATCTTTCAATTTAACTTATAAAAGTTATTTTCCATCTTACAAAAAATAAATAAAGAAAGCAAGCCTCCCCACACACATTGCTTACCTTTTTTGTCAGCTTCTTGACTGAAGTTTTACCTACAGAAAAGAAGAAACATTATTTATTACCCATATTCCTTGGGAAAATTCAACTTCCATTAAGAAAGAAAATCATTTAAAAGACAAAACAAACAACTAAATACTTATAAAACAATAAATGTCTGGCAATTTTAGCTAATATCATTAAACCAAAGCTACGAGCCAGAGAATTCTGTCTAAACACAAAGACATTGTATTGTAGTTCTTTGTAAGACCTAGTTTCAATTTCACTCACCTCACTCCAGACATACGAAATCTTACAACCATCTTTGACTGATCTTGGTTATCTACATCATAAATAAATTCTTGCCAAATGGTTTCTTTCTTCATGATTATTAAAGTCTGTCTCTTTTTGCTTTCATTGATTTAAGAAAAACACATTCATGTTTTAGAAAGTTACCTTTCTGAACCCTCAACAGTTCTCTTAAGCTTACAGTCAAATTTAAAGGGCTAGCCAACATGACTGTTCATTCTAAAGTGATGTTACTTTTAATAATTTCCTTTTAGATAGAGATTTAAAATTCTTTCAGGTTTTCAGCCATCTTCTTTACTCCTTATATCATTTTCCTCTTATCGATTATAATTCTAAAGCAATCACATCGCTTCTTTTGTTGAGACTTATTTTGATGATAGCCTCAAGTCATTTTACACATCTAGAACAATACTGAAAAATGTTTTGTTTGTTTCTTACGTAAGTCATGTACATCACAAATTTCCATTCTTGCTCTCAAAATTATCTCCTCTATGAAGTTCCTTCAGTAGAATTATATGGTCTATGAAAATACAGGTGACACGTTAAAAAAAATGAATACTTTTAGATGTGCCTTTTCTGTAGTTTGGGATGCTTAATTTGGACTATAAATCTACTGGGGACAAATTCTATTATTTGGTGTTAATAAACTGTCGAGATTTTATTTTTGCATTGTTAATCAAAACAGTAGTTAGGAATATGACTATATAATTTTTACAAACATCTATGACAATGTTTGTAAGCTTAGGTGTTACTATTTTGGAATAATTTTTATTATCTATCTTTTATTAACTGTGTAACACATGTATTTTACCTATCTTTGCATATTCTAGTAACTTCAAAAAAGAAACTGATCACGATTCACATGCCTTATATTGCTTTTCTTAAAGTCACAAATTATTCATTACCATATGCACTTTTATTTTTAGACAATTAAGCTTAGTTCCATCAGTTTTTTGTGTGTGTATGTGAGGAAGATTAGCCCTGAGCTAACATCTGTTGCCAATCCACCTATTTTTACTGAGGACGATTGGCCCTGGGCTAACATCCATGCCCATCTTCCTCTACTTTGTATGTGGGATGCCTGCCACAGCATGGCTTGATAAGCGGTACGTAGGTCCATGCCTGGGATCCAAACCTGTGAACCCCGGGCTGCCAAAGCGGAGTGCATGCACTTAACACCATGCCACCGGACCAGCCCCTCTGTCAGTTTTTTAAAGAGAGATTAAGCCTTGTACATAACTGAAAAAGTATTATAGGAAGTAATAATTGACATCGTGAAAGGTGACATCTTGAGGTGGCAATATGGATGGTTTCTAAGGAATAAGATTATTTCTAAGGGGTCTTATATCTGCTTCATAGCTAGACTCCTTTTTGGTCTTTTAGAAATCTTTGTTCTTAAAAAAAAAAAATCCTTTTACTTGAAACTGAGTAAGGACAGAAGGTAACATTTGCTTCCCTGCAGCTAGAAGTCTTGATGCCAAATAGCTAAGCCAACAAAATTCAATACTATATGAATGAAATACAACAATAAAGTCACAAACTAATTGAATAATATCAACACTGGCGTCCAGGTAAGAACTAAATGGTAAAACCCTATTGAGGCAGATCCCATATCTGTCTTATTTTTATGTAGTTCAGGGCTTAGCACTTAAATATTTGTTGAGTGAATAACTGAATAAAAAATTAGAAAAGATTCCAGACTGTCTTCTTATTCAGATCCCTGACTTTTAGTGGTTAATAATAAATTATTATCCTCATTTTACAAATGAAACAAATAATGCCCAGTGATGGGAAGAGGAATTAGGTCACGACATTGCACTGGAGACTTTCTTTCCTTGTATAGATTTTTCAAAGACAGGTGTTAGACTCCTTGAGCTCCATTCAAGTAGTGACGGGAACCTGTGGACTACTTTCAACACTTCAGAAAGCTTCACAGAACTGAACAGGTAAGGATGATGTGTTATAGAGGCAGTTTTGTTACTTTTGATTATAACTCAAAATGATAACACTGGTTAATTCATGTCGATTACAAGTTCTGCTTGGTACTTGTACTTGATTATGAAAAACGGAGAACCCATGTATTTAATGAGCTTCTCTTGTAAGAATCATTTTCAAATCTCTTTCAAAAATCCTTTCAAATCAAAATAATTTTCAAAAATCATTTCAAATAATTAGAAAATGATAAATTATCTTTGCTGATTAAAAAGTTTGGGGGCCACTCTCTTATATAAAATTCAATTTTTAGATAAAAGAAAAAAAAAGATAAGAGACTGGCCTAGGAGCGTAGTGGTTAAGTTTGTGTGTTCCACTTCGGCAGCCCGGGGTTTGCAGGTTCAGATCCTAAGCGTGGACCTATGCATCACTGCTCATCAAGCCACGCTGTGGTGGCATCTCACATACAAAATAGAGGAGGATGGGCACAGATGTTAGCTCACAGCCAATCTTCCTCACCGAAAAAAAAAAAAAATAAGGCACAGCTACTAGGAGTGAACATGTATTCACTCTTACTTCTTCTTTCTCCTAAGTTAATAAACTTTTTCCTGAGCAAGAGAAAGGGTTGTGGTGTTTCAAACCCAGAACACTGTGGTAGGGTTTTTTCCGTAGGTGCTTATCTCATCCAGGCAGGCCTACTTTTATACCACTTGTTCATGGGTTATACCAGGAAAGAGAGCAGTGTATCAAAATAGTTCCATGGTCTGATCTGCTACATGAGGAGCTATGACCTTTGTTCTTCTGACAGCAATAACAACACAAGGACATATTAAATATATCTAAGTATTTTTGGCCACACTTTTCTATTTAAGTATAAAACCCATCTGTAAATAATCTAATTTTTCCTTCAGGTTTTTCTGTTTTTTTTAGTCTGTCTAGCTGTCTGTTTTGGTGGGGGGGACTCCTGCTTCTCTTTTTTTGGCTATTTCTACTTTCACACACATAAAAAATTCAGTCATTATTTTCATAGCTATTTCATATATATATTCATGCACTCATATATGAAAGTAACAGAATGGGGAAAAAAACTTAACAGCAAAAAAGATAGATCTAGAGTTGAGGCTGTAATGTTTTATTGTAGGAGTATGAAAGAATGGAAAACACATTGTGGCTTTTCTTGGCAGAGGAAGGTATAGATCTTCAAGCACTATGATGGAATTTTGGCTCAGAAAGTAGAATGTTTTTAAAGGTCTCCACCTATTCTAGAGATTCCACCATGTGGTTTTCACTGTTTACAGAGGATTACTAAAGTAAAAACCAGGAACAAGCACATCTTGTTACAGGCAAACAGCCATTTTATTACTTAAAAAAAGTAAACTGCATTAATACAATATTAAGTGTTGTTACAGGTCAAATAAATCTTTGCCTCTAGCCAAAACAAAGTTAATTGATAATCATAACTATAAAAACAGTACTAATGATATCTAATTCAGTTTCATTTTGCTGGAGGTAAGCGGACTTTTGACACATAAAAATTAGATAATAGAGACATTCCCATCATTTCATATCTTTTGCATAAATATATGAAACAACTTAGCATCAATATTAGAATTAGTATAAAACAGAGCTGATTACTCCAATACTTGCTTGAATTCAGTCATAGCTATTATGGAAACCAAGGCAGAAAATGACACATTAGCAAAATGACTAAATTCTCTAATATCACTAATAAAAGTGCTATTCAGCAAAGCATATGGCTTGTTTATTTTTGCTGGAATATTTAAGTAGTGAGAGCATGAGATATCGTCTGGTTGGTATTTCTCCTAGAGGGAGACAAATGGCGATCCCCTGAAATGCCTAAAACTGGCCTCCTTGTCAACACTGCTAAGTAAGGTCTTGAAATATATTTAAATAGTTTTTGAAGGGAAAAAAAAAGAATGTGACTTTTTTGGCAATCTCAAGCACTGTGAAATAACAAGAACAACAGTATACGTAAAAAATTATTTGATTACAGTTTAAAAACTGATATAAAGGGGGAAATACAGCAGCTAAGAAACTAAATAATGAGAAGTGGGGAAGATAAGGGAAAGCTTCTCCAAATAAGAGATGCTTAAGTTAAGACCTGAAGGATTAGTATGAATTAGCTCAGAAAAGTGGAGTTAAAAGCATTCCGTGAATAGCATGTGAATCATTTCTGAGATGGGAAGGGTTAGAACACTGAGGAACAGGGAGTGGGCCCTGTCAGTCTCTTCTATTGTGGTGAGAAGGAGAGGCTGAGTGCCATGCAAGTAATTTTGGTGGCAGGAAGCTGAGGTAGTTACTATCTAATGATTTCTATTTTTCCTTTGAGTAGGTGATCAGGTAATTTGCTAGAGCACGTAGGAGAAAGTATAAGGCTAGGGGCTTGTAGAAACTTAGATTGACAATCAGAGATTGCTAGTGTAAAGAAATATGATTGTTTTTCCTATAGAGATGTTGTATCCTGTGACCCTGATAACTCATTAATTCTAGTGGTTTTACTATTTGTGGGTGATCTGGGATTTTCTATAGAGATAATCATGTCTCTGAACTAAGACAGCTTTATCTCTTCCTTTTAAATCTGTAGGTCTCATTTCTTTTTCTTGTCTTTTTGCACTGGCAAGGACTTCTAGTACAATGTTAAAGAGAAGTGGTGACAGTGAAGGGCCTTGCCTAATTCTTGATCTTAGGTGCATTCAATTTTTCACCATTAAGAACAATATTATCAACTGGCTTTATGTCCATATGGACTTTTAGGACTTAAGCCTCAAAAGTGCCATATTGTCATTTCCAGGCA